CAGTACTTTATGATTGTTCAATATTTAATTTGGCTTGTACAGTAGAGTACTATAAATCTGTTTCAATTTTATTAAAAATATCATAATAATTATATATTATTTATATTTATTAAAATGTATGTAGGCTGTGTTAGAGTACAATAGAATGTTAATACAATGACCATAGTAGATACCTGTAATGTAACAGATCTAGTTAAAATTCAGATAAGAATAAAGACAATTCCATTTTTAAATATAAACCGAAAAATCACCCGTTTAAATCTCTATAATGTGTCTCGTGTTCTAGTGCATCCATACAGTAGTCCTTGCCCCGAAACTGATACTCAGAAATACCTGGTAAGGCCGTAGCATGAAAGTTTGAACTCTAAATATTTGAAATTTGGCATTTTAATTGAGGTGTTATCTGACATCTGAGGTGTTATCTTTAAAATTTAACCCGTCCATGGTGGGGCAGAAGTGGATGCGAACTCAAAGCGCCCTTTGCCAGGATGCTGTCCGGTAGGGGATAGTTTTACCCTAGTTAAATTTAGTTAAAGTTTAACGAAGTTAGCTAAGGTTGCCCTGGGTACGATGTTAAACTGCATCTGGTTGAGCTGCTGAGGAAGAATCTGAAAACCCCATTGTGGTCTTCAGCAGCCACTGAAGTGGGAGGCTGTCGTAGTCATCCCGCAGCAAAAAACAGCTGAACAGAGGGAGGATTAGCTCTCTCGAGTCAGGGCCAACCATACCTAGTTTAAGGCGTAGGCATATATCAGGGATTTAAGCTCAAAACATAGGTCAAGCACTAGAGGCTTTATGCATTATGCGCTCTATTAACCCTTATTATTATTACATTATTATTATTATTATTATTATTACATTATTATTATTATTATTATTAATATTATCATAAAAAAAAACCCACCACACTGTGATGATGCTGTACAGTAAATCTCTCATGTGTCACTTAAGAATGGTAGGTTGTCAAGGTTACAATGTACCCATGTGGAAAGAAATTACATCAAATATACATAGTTCCACATGGCTTCATATGTAAATGGATGTACTGTATTTCAAGTAAAGAATTATGCCGTACGACTACTTGAACATGAATTATTGAGAAGTGATATTGGAATGTCATTAATTATTGCAAAATACATAATAAATATTTTGGAAGTTCCAAAGAATTTTAATGTAAGGTCTTGAAATATTTTCATTAGTATAGTGTTGTAAACCTGTATATCAGATTATAAATTATTCAAGGTACTATACTGTAGAGATTCCCAGTGGTGTACAGTACTTTAAGTAGAAGTAGGGTGGAATAAAATGGTACTATATTAAGATAGCCAATTGCCTTGTAATACAGTATATCATCTTTAGAAACAAAAACAAAAAAAAGGGGGGGGGGGGAACCACCATGCATCCGAGTCTGACCCAAGTAGGGTAGGTGTACAAAATGAAGAAATTATGTAAAATAGTTTTCAAATAAGAATAACACTGCTAATATCACATACCATGCACAATATTAATATTATTGCAAGTTTTTTCTCAAATTTAATTAATACAAAAATACTGTTTTATATTTCTGCTTTCCTAGAATTGTTGTGTGATCTGATAAATCAACAGGCCCAATTGTAGTATCAAGCAGAGTCGTAAAAAGATTCAAGTCCATACAATTGGCTTTAGTTTAAACAGCTTGGAATAAATAGTGTAGCCTGGTAAACATTTAACCATAGAGGAAATAAACATTACTACTGTACAGTAGTCTTTATTATAAATAATTTATTAACATCAAATTATGTTTATATCTACAGTAGCCTATGGAGGCATAATAAATTTTGCCTTGGAGGTACCATTATATAATCACCACTGTTTGTTATTTAGCGGTATTTATATGCAAACACTAATTAATGGATCATCATAAAAGTGGTACATATTGGTCGTAAAATGTTGGGGTTCAAAGGTCAAGTTAACAGAAAGTTTAACAATCACAAATTGGTTTGGCAGAGATACAGTAGTTAGGTTCATATTCAGAATTTATCGTGAGTTTCTTTATCGTGATGTTCTATATGAACCTGCATAGCAAGTTCATGATCTTCTTCAAATTAAACCACAACATCGAGAGTAAGCTTTTCATGAAGAAGCATCAGGTTTTCAGACCCAGCATCATGATAAATTAATTCATAGGTGAAATTCAACCAATGAGTGCTCGAGCTGAAATGGATCACCGCACTTGACCTTAGCTTTTTAATCGTCGTTCGCGTTTTTCGTTGAGAAGCGATGTTTTGATGCGGTATATCATTCATAATATTCTGGTTTTAATTAATTATTTGTTAGGAGAAACATGGTGAGACATAAATGGGCATACAATGAGGAACGAAATTTGGTAAAAATCGTAGCTATTGGTTGATTTCCCGGTGATTTATAATCAGGGAGGGACAACTTGCTCCACAACAAGACATCCATTCGTAGAAACCTTAATGAAGAAAGCCTACCTAAAGTGGTCTACATTGGCACCGCTAACTCCGGCTTTGAATAAATTATACGAAGATTGAATTGTGTTAAAATAGAGTATACAATGCACACGATGTGATGTTACGAAAGTTCCATGCTAGGTTCTAGGCCCTAGTCTAGCCTAGAACGTAGCTTTGCTACGACGTAGAGATACGAAACTTCAGCCGTTCTTGCCCATAACGAAGATATCTTGCCTTTCTTCTAATATTCACTGGCTTTCGTTTTAATGTAATCAATTAAAACCATTAGCAGCATCATATTTGCAGTATGTAAATGATCGTCCGCAGAATCAAATAGTTACAGTACCAAGGGTAACATCAAAATTAAATTCCTAGGCAACATGACGTCATACATACATGTAATAAGTATAGTATTTGTACTGCTGGCCTCGCACTTCGACAGCATGTGCAGACTCTTGTCACGCACCGGTAAACATCATTTGCATACCTAGAGTTACATTTTGTTTTATGTGAACGATTTCCGATTATCATGAAAAACGAACTCACGATGTTTTCATGAACAACTCTTCGTGAAAACTTCTATGAACGTGCCCACTATGAACTCTTTAGAGTTGAGTGCCCACTCTATTGTAGTTATTTATTTACAGTATATTATTAACCTCCATGTCTAGAATTAGAGGTCAGACTTTTCTGACCACAACTGAACTTTGATATGATTGGTTTATTTGTGATCTTGAATTTGCTGCCATTGGATATTGTCAACTGGGCTTATCTCTGGATTGTAGTCAATTCTGACCAAGGTTCTGACAACTTTACTGAACTATTCTAAGGTCACTTTATGAAAATAATTGAATTTATCAAATTTTAATTATTACACCATTTTGTTTAGATTTAGCAGATTGTGAGCACATTAAATACAAATTGTATGTTCTTATTTAGAAAATCTTGTGTTACTTGAAGGGTTGTCATGCACTAGACAGAAAAATCATAATTGTCACAAGACAAATTCAAAATATCGTAAAATTAAAGCAATGAAATTTGTTTGTATGCAATAACCAAAATCTCTAATATTTACTTGCAAAATCCTTAACATCAGATGACTGATAGAGAATTATTAAATAAAAGAGAAAAATGTTGTTCTTAATACAAAAACCAAAACTCAAGGATAAGAAAATATGCAAAAAGGTTGTGTAACATTCTAATACTGAGCATGCATAGTTTTTGTCTTCAGTTTTGAATAGTGAGTTTTAGTTCTGAAATCTCATGTAATTTAGAGCTGTTTGACGTCATTGTGATGTTAAGCATATGAGGATACGCAAGTACAGTATTCGTAATAATGGCTTGGAAGTCACTATCTGACCCTGTCATGTTATCAAAATAATAATAGAATTAAAAGTTACACTTTGCCATTGACTCTGAAGAAAGGTAACATTTTTCTATCATGTTCATAATGTTTGTATCTCGTTGTGTTCATTCCTTGGGACGTAAAATAATCTTGGAACCCATTGGCAGAATGTAGCTGTCTTAACCAATCAGGAAGAAGCCAAAGCTTTGTCATTTACTGATATTGAATTCGATGTGATAGCGCATCACAATAGCTAGCACGCTAGCTATCTTGTCATGATACTGTATGTTATTGTGTGTTGTCAAAATTCTGAACACAACGGGACGTTTAAATTTATTTTAATTTGTAGTTAAGTTATCAATTTTTTTGGTTACAATGTGTATTTGTGTATATATCAGCTTTTAAATTTTTTGTAGTTAAGAACTGAACCACTTTGGAAACCAGTACTATATTGAAAGTGTATATTCAGTATAAAGAAAGTATAAATAAATAAACACTTATTCATATTTTTGGCCAGTTGTATACACATGATAAATAATTAGCATATATGGTGCCAGATCACACTTAAATCCCATTGGTTTTTTGGGGGTGTTTTTTATTGATAATGATGAGATCTGAAATTATTCCGTATAATAGGCCTCCAAGATTTTAATGAATCAAATTATTCAATTACATGTTTTTGCATATTAAATATCAACAACATCATATTTATACAATAATCTTTTGAAAGATAAACAATTTCAAAAGTTCAAGTACAGTATTGTATGGTTTGGAAATTAAATTGAAAGTGTAAGTATCAACAGAATACTCATCACAATTTTATGATAACAAAACTAGTGACTAAGAAAACAATGTTTTCAGATTGATAGATTGCTCTTTCTTCAAAATATCAGTTTATATTGTCTAGTTGATATAATTATTTGACCTTTGGTCATTATAATATGTTAAAGTTCATTTTACAGGTAGGTGGTTTCTTTCATGGAATATTCAGCTTTTAATATTTTATTTACATTCAACAGCATAAGTTAAACTAATTTCATTCAAGATTAAACTATGTGATACACAAAACTGCCTCCTTTAATGGCTAAGGGAGTGAAGTTGTTTAATTGTGTTAATTAAAATATGAAGTTGAACCATTGCAATGCAATGTAAACTAGTATCACATCACAAAATATGCTTTACTATATTACATTTTCTTTCAGAGCTGAAAAGACAGAGGTCCTCAACCAAGACTTGCAACAGGTTTGTTCAAGTTTCTTTGTAGAATGTAAAAAGATACCAGTACTAATAATAGATAATTGGTTTTAATAAATAAGTAATAATAATTTTACTTCTTAACAATGTTCTCTCTTTCATCTTTACACATTTAACAATTCATTTCTATTGTTTTCTGTTCAAGGCAGGATAATTTGTTAAATTTGAAGTTCTGAAATCTGCCAGAACACAACTCAATGTTTAAAGTGTAACTCAATGTTGTTTAATAATTTATTGTGTTTGTTTCATTACAGTGTGAAAAACGAGTGGAACAAATCAAGCATGCTTGTCAGAACACGAGTAAAAAACTTTCAGCATGTCAGCAAAGTCAAGGAACAGATGTTGAGAAACGAATGGCAAGTCTAACATCACACTCAATTTATATTGGCTGGTTGTTTGAAGCTCTTTAACAATATCAATTAAGATATGAATTTGTGTCAGGAAAATATCATAGGAGTGATATTTTGCCCCACCTGACATGTTATCGTACTGAAACTCAGTACGTCCCCAATATACTGTACTAGCTGAAAAATTTGCAAGTGATTCAGGTGGGAATCTAACCCACAACTTCCAGGTATCTAGCCTGATGTCTTAACCACTAGACAACCGAGCTTGAGCTTGGTGACTAGTGATGAATCCGATCCCCTAGCAGCAGCGGTACTGCAGGTGCTATAAAGATATGAATTTTGAATCACTTGCAAATTTTTTTCACTAGTATTTGGGGACATACTGAGTTTTTGGTAGATAACATGTCAGGTAGGGCAAACATCACTCCTATGATATTTTCCTGACGCAAAGTGGTGTTTTGAAGGAGCTTGTTTAGGTGTTTTGATGAAACATGTTTGGATGTTTTGAAGAAACATGTAAAGATGTTCTGATGTGTTTTGAGGGAAGTTTAAAAGCAGTTGGCTTTAGGAAATATGTGGTATCCTGAAAAAACATGTGTACATGTGTTTTTATTGATCAATGACAAAACAAATCAGACACAGGCATATATTGTGCAAAAAATAGAAAATACTATAATAGTATTGAACAATGTGAGTATTATATTAGGCTGGCAAAAAGTAACAATAGTAATTTTGTTAATCGCTTCTTAAGAAAGTCTTTCGGTCTTCCATACATAAACCATGGAGACATACAGTACTTTGTAGGTGTTTTGACCAAACATGTTCAGATGTTTTAAAGAAACATGTGTAGGTGTGTTGATGGAGCACATGTGTTTTGAAGGTACATAGAGCAGGTGTTTTTGAGGAACATGTGGAATTGTTTTTTGAATAAACATCAATATTCTGAAGAAACTAGACGTGTTTTGATGGAACACACATGTTTTGAAGGAACGTGACAAAGAATTCTGACAAAGTCACATGTTGTGCAAAGAATAAAGAATACTCTAGTATTGAACAAGGAGGTATTATAGTAAAATACTGTATGAGAAAAGTAGTTTTGTCTATTATAAGAAAGTCTTCTGTTCTTCCATAGTGTAGCCATGGAGACATACTACACTGCTGCAGACAACATTGTACCAACTGCTAAGTTTAGATCCACTAAGCCTAATTTCCATTAAAATTGCTACTGTACACTGATGCTACAATTTTTTCCAAATGACCATCAGAGTCTAACAAACATGGGAGGGGGGTTCAAACCTTCTTGTCAAAATGGGTATTGAGGGGGAGAGAAATCTGTTGTTTTCATAAAATTCATTCTTTCGACCAAACTATCAGAGTTTAATAAACTTTAGGGGGTAACTAAAATAGGGGAAGAAATGAATTATTTCCATAAAATTGCTACACTGATACTACAGTATTTTTAATCAACCAATCAGAGACTAACAGACATTAAGGGGATCAAACCATCTAGGCAAAATGGGGGTGAAATCTTCAGTGCTAGCTTTTGCTCTAAATCATTTTTATTCAAATAAATCTATCAGGTCATATGCTGACCAATCAGAGCATGCAGATTCCAGAACAAACTGCAAACAATGCCAATGTGACAAGTGTTTGCTTTGCGCTGTGTAATGGATTGCACTATGTTTTCATCGCTGTCACATACTGTCTGTCTCGCCCTGTGTAAATAGACCTTTACGTTGATCTTGACAAAATATCTATGACAATACAACTAAAAACTACCAATAGAAACATTCCCATGTGAGAATTTAATTTATCTGTAATATTTTTGGTTTCTGAATCCTTTATGTAGTTTCCTTATGTAGTAGATTTCTTTAATGTTCTTTCAGATTCTTGATATCAGCCTTACTAAAGGTGTCACCATGTCAAAATGGTGATTGTAAAGATAAATGTGCAGTAACTTGACCTTAAGTTACAGTGTTTTAAAAAGCAGTCTAATTATAGATATATTGTATTTACTGTACCTGGTATAAACATCAACCATTTCACTTGTCCTGGGAAGGAATGATTTTCAGGGAAGTGGTTTACTAATATTCCTATCACTTGGTTTCCACTAATACTGTAATTCAACCACTTAGTCCTAACTTTCCATGCAATCACATATATTGCCTATTTCCTGAATTATGTGGTATTATTAATGACCACCTTGCATAATATTCGTTATAAAATGCCGCATATTAAATTACTGTATATAGTTAATATACATGTTAAGTCTATAATATTATATAACAGGATTATAGAATGCAAAAAAGTACCATTTAAGAAGCCAGGATTTTGAAATATCTCAAATAAAATTCCACTCTTCTATTATTACTGGAAGGTAATCACATTGACCAGAACTTTATATGATATCATTTCCTTTTGTAGCATCTATTTAATCATTGTTTTATCACCGTCTTATACAGAGAAATAGCCACTGTCTGATGTTAAAGTCAGGAAAACACTCCAAAAATGAAACAATGAATTTTAAATACATTAAATAGGTTATTGATAAACTACCAAAATTGATAAAAACTTCAAGTTTTCAATGATTACGCATTTTATTACAGAAATTCTTGATTAAAAGCCGAGGTCTTGTAATTGCAAAATTAATGTAGAAATGTAACTACTTTATTTACGCATTTGTTAATTAGCATTAAAGATATTTTTTGATTTGATGACAATTTTGTAAACATATAATCATCTAAATATTGGGTTTACAGTACTGTAACTGAACAACAGGTAAAAGTTTATTGAAAATTTATTATAAATTATATATACAGTAATGTTCATATTGGGTTTACTGGAGCTAAATACATAAAAAAAATTATAATTAATTTATAATTAAGACATTTTAATTGCATCACGTTTTTACAATGGAACTGTATTTATATATTAAATTTTATTGTTCTGAATCTCATCTATGTTGTTATGTGTCACACTGAGAATACGAACTTTTATTATTATTACTTTATTAGGTATCTTAATACCTGAGAAAATCTATAACAAGGAAGTACTGCTTATTATCTGAATTCAGTGTGTTATAGGAAAGGAAAGCTTAGTGTTTAGTGGGACTTATATGGAATGAAAAACTTCGTGTACAATAGTTGCACAATCGCATTTGAATTTTTCTTCTTTGAAATTCCTGTGTTTTCAAAGAACCCAATTTGGTTGACTTATGTTTGTTTAGGAAAATGAGTACCAGATATGGTTCAAATTTATAAGCAATGATTAAGAAGATGGAATTGTTATGTATACATGTAGATATAATATAGTAGAAGATCTAGAATTAATTAGTTTTTGAAATTTCCTGGTTACTAAATGGGAAGTTGAAGATATTAACATACAGGTAGAAGTATTATATGTTTCCTAGACTTGAAGGGAATGTTACAAAGTTGATTTAATTTTACCAGTTTTTTATCAATGCATATTTTTGGGGAGTCATGCCTACATGTGGTGGCCCTAAACCACACCAGTGCTGAGGTGAACCGATTCAGCACATCTAGTCCAAATCTGTGTTAATATTAACAACGCCACAGTCAACCATTGTCACTGTGATTTTGCACTTGAACAAAAGAACCAGTTTTTTAGATGTACATTATCAGTTGTAATTTATTTTTTACCTTTTTTTATTGTAGAAAAAACTTCCACAGCATGCATTAGCTCAAACAATGGAAGAAAGTGGAAAAGAACTTGGAGAAAATTCAATATTTGGGTGAGATATGATGTTTTTGGATTATTATATTGAAGTACAGTATTATGTATGTATAAGTTTTTGAAACATACTCACTCATTCAATTTAATTTTAATAAAACATTGTTTAAGGAAGTGGCTTTGCATAGATAAGTATTACCTGATTCACTATCAGAATATGTTATAAATATTAACAGGAATATCTGTTCTGATATTTCCCTACCGAGACATGTCGCTTTAACACTACTAAATACTAACCTTGCTAAAAGTTGGTATGATGAAGATATGCAGACAACGAAAATATGTGCGATTCAAAAGTGTAAGATAATAAGCTAAACCCTGTACCATACACAGATCTTGCTAAATATCTCGGGGGAATTTGCATGTCTTGTTCTGTACCTCTGCAAAGGAGGTTATGTATTCACTTTTTCACTGTTGTCTGTCTTTCTGTCTGTCTGTTAGCAACATTATGCAAAAACCAATTAATGGATTATCATATCATTTAGTGGAATAGTACATAATAATCAGAGAAAGACACCATTGAATTTTTGGAGAAAAGGTCAAAGAACAATGTCAGGGTCACAGAAATTCAATTTTTTTACCCTCAAGCATAAACGAAAACAATCAAATTGCCCCACGTATTCAGGCAGCACTCAAGAAAACAATGTGCCTATAAATATGATAAGCGATTCTTTTATTTTCTTGAGGGTATTCTGCAGCACCAAAGAAAACAATTTTATTGAGGGTATGTTGCAGTTTTTTTGCCTTTTATACACAGCCTGCGTATTATTGGTACTACATTCAGGTACAAGGCAGAGGTATTTGCACTCAGAGTGATTGCTCTAGTAGAGGTCTGTTTTCAACTGAGATACAGTATCCTTGGTGTTCTCACAAGGATGCATCGTTTTTCTTTGATTTTATCTGTCTATTTTCATTACATGATGATGAGGCGAATAAATGCAATGAAATTCTCACTTCCCAAATATCCATGATATGGAAAATATCCTTGGTACAATTTGTCAATATTTAGGACATTCCTGTCATGTGAATCAAGTATGGTATAAAGCTGTCCAGATTATCAAATTATGCCCATATATAGTCATTATGTGATGTCATTATGACTATATTTAGGCATGTCACATGTATTTGGCAAATAAAATTTAATAGTCTGGACATGGCTCTAGATCTTATGTATTTTGCAATCCTGCTGTTAATTGGTGATCAACCATTTAATAACTGGTTTTATTTCATGATTTGAATTTCTATATATTTATTGAAAAATATCAAATCAAAATTACAATAATGTATGAAATCTTGCATTAGACTTGAGTAAAAAAATCGCACTGATGTAGGAAAAGTGCTTCTCGAAACATGTATGCTTTCAGAACTAACATAATTGTCTTGTTTTCAATATATCTTGCATATTGTCGTTAGGCCCTACATATTGTCACACTATCATATTGTCACTCTGTCACCAGAAATATGCTTCTCCAGGCCTCAGATGTATCATTTAGCTTAGCCCTTGAACTTACAAGTTTTGAGACAAGTATGGAGAAATTTGTCATCGCCCCTTTAAGCAGTGTACTTGAGGTAAGAAAAGTGATAATGAAAGTGAGAAACTGTTAAGATGATCCCTGTTTTCATGACTAGTTTGTGGGCTTTGTTTGCAATACGATACAACATGTCATTGTTTAATTGCCGTTCATTATTTCTTATATTAATCTTGAAATATAATTATAATATTTAATATTTTAATTGTAATTATTTAAATTAAAATAGTTTTTTTCCTCATATAATTCAAAGATAAATTTATCTAGCAATTTCTGGTATATACACCTGTATATGGAATTATTTACAGTATTTAATTAATTTTTATGATGATATAACAATGCATAATGTGGAGACCTACAAAATGATTGTTTAAATGTTATTGAGTTGTGGGCTAGAAAATGCACTATATGTTGTGTAGCCAAATAACAATCACTAAACCAAATCTTGAGCAGACTGTTCAGCAAGCATTTTCCTGTGATAGCGTGCATACTCACATGATGAGAAAAATGCTTACCTATGTCGTTGGGTAAATGATCATTCATGAATGGCAAATCCAGGTGTTATTGTACATCTACTGAGAGAGAGAGCTGTTTGAGGCAGTCGCACACAGTAAACATTCTGCCATGCAATACAAAACATAGAACACAATAGATATTTTGATCGCTGTCTCGTGAGACAGAAGTCACACAAAAAATAGCAATGAGCTAGCAATTGTCAGAAGTGGCCATTTGCTGAGCAAACTAATCTCATGTGCACAAAACTTTTAGGAAGCTACCCAAATTCAAGCTTCTTCAGTATACACCCCCGGAAACATTGCTAAAAATAAATAATATTTAGTCCAGCATTTTTAACACAAGTGTGGCTTTTTCTGAGTGTAGCTCACTGTATCTAGTGGCGTAGGGTATTGGCATGGGGAAGGGAAGACTAATGGGGACAATGGATTAAGTGGGGTGCTGATATGATGCGATGTCTAACCTTTCCCAACCTTGAGGTCAGGGGTTCGAAACTCTAGCTGTAGAAGTGGTGTCCTTTTGCAATGCACTTTAAGTTTGTCTCTCTACCCAGGAGTATAAATCGGTACCTGGTAGTATGTTGTGGTATTGATTGTACTAGTTTCTGAGTACAACACACGACCAGGTATACTCCCAAGGGATCAGAGAAGTTTGCGCTTTGTGCTGGTTTGCCATTATATGTTATCCAGTAACATGGGGTAATAACGCATGCTCAGCCACTCTGATCATTGTTGGATTAGGCCAAATAAAAAAAAAATATTGGTTTATCACCCCTGCACGCATGTCTTCTATAGTACTGGAAAAAAAATTTTTTTTTTAAATTTTATTTATTAATTTTTTTCATTTATTTTATTAAATAGTTAGTAGATATTGTTTTCATTATCTAAATCATGTTTCACTTTGAATATTAATGCACCAGCAAACAACCCAAGGGTGATATTTGGCTTCAGCAAATTAAAAAATATAAAAGAAAACTTTCCTCCCTCATCACTTTTCCTGCCCAGATAGGGTGATAAACTAATAATATTTTTTGTAGGGCCATATATTTTAATTTTTAGTTTAGCTTTTTTATATTTGGACTGAAATACATCAAGTGAATTAATTATGTAATTTATTGTACTAATTCTTTTTTTTTTTTTTTTTAGAATGAAATTCCAGCAATTGCATCGGTAAAGAAAAGATTGACTAAATTAACTCTGGATTTAGACTCTTCCAAATCAAGGTATAGTCTAAACTGATCTTGCAGTACCTTCATGATATATACTGCTACATTCTTGATGTTTACTTACAGTATGCCGTTTAGTCACAAAAACTTGATTTACATATTATGAGTGGGATTGATTGTTTACACAATAGTTCAGCTATGGCTTTTTAATCCCTGTCCAAATTTATTTGACCAAAACATGTGATGTGCCTAAATATGGCCATGATGAAATCACATCATAGCCATTATAGGCACATCATGACTATATATGGGCATACAAGGGTCGTGCTAGAAAAATCAGTACTTGAATTATCCACTTTGTGCATTTAATTAACTTTCACTTTAAAATTGAAACAAGAAAATAATTTTCTTACCAAATGCATACAGAATAGTAATACCTTATTTTTAGTTCCTATGCATGTAATGCAAAAGGAACTATTGGAATCACTTTTCACTGTTTTCCCTATGTGTAGTGTGTGCGTGCGTGTGTGTGTAGACGTTTATGCAAATGCGCATGCATAAAAAAAAAGTTTTCCGGCATTTTGTTTTTCCTCGCGATGCGCAGTTCGATGTGAAGTATTCTGCAGTGTTCAGTCAGGGCTCACGCTAACCAATCGGCAATTCAGCATGGATGAAACTCTTTTGGTTTTGCGGCAAAAAAAAATCAAATGCTGTAGGCATAAGCATTTTGAAGAAGGCCTAAAATAAAAAAAAGGTTTTAATACTTGCTGAAATACATCGTTTTTTAATTTAGATCTCCATTTTTCGCTACCTCCATGCTACGTTTTTTTCTGTTGTATGAGTAGTCATATGAAGGTACTATATCCCTGACAGTTGGCTATGCAGCAGTGTACTCTTTGAATGCAGACTGAAGACAAGTGAAGTTATAAAGGCAGCCGACTGTCGGGTACATAACAACTATCTAGCTTAGGCTTTCCACAAAAACATGAGGCCTAGGCTATGCCTAGTTTAGTACAGAAGTTACTGCAATGCGAGGGTGGTAGATTGTCTGATCAATGATATCGTGTTATCTAATACGTAAAATACATTTAAATAATGTATGTAAAATTTAAGAATGCACCGCGTGGGTCGCTTTCTTTGTTATGCAGTAGTATACGTAGCAGAGTGACGGCAGCAAGGCTAGGCCTAGCCTAGGCTCAAGATCGTGTACGTTCTTGATCATCGTGATGAAAACTTCAGGTGGCAGACGATTGGGACCAACTGGTGTGGATGATCGGGCCCAATCTATTTTCAAATAAATTGTAGTCTAGTAGGCCACTGCCAGCTCCCCCACTCCTGATATCGTTCCAAACTACTGTAAAATGAGAATACTGTATGCCTAGGCCCTAGGCCTACAAAAATTTTCAAAGAAATTCGCTAAAAATATTACTGTAATTTGCCTATCAAATTACATTAACAGTGTGGTCTAAAATCACTATTTCGGACCATAAAGACTCCCCCTGAATTTTTCAACCACCACACAAATTTGACCCAACCGTATTTTCTGATTATGTCATTTATGATGACTTAATCAGAAAATATGGTTGGTTAAGTCATTTATCATGCATAGGAACGTTGACGCCTGCAAGGCTCTGGTTTGCATAGACATAAATTGGTTGGTATTTTATATAAGGATTTTTGTAGTTTAAATTCAGTCATCAAAAATGTTAATGTTTTGATCACCTCTGTTACAAAATTCATGAATAATTCAGTTAATTTATGGTTCAGCTTTCGATTCTTTCACTTTCTTTAAACTGTGTTTGACCCATTTTTAATTGTGTAAGGTGCTATATAAATGAATTACCATTACATTATTTAGGTACATGGGCATATGCTGGGTGGGGGTGTGTGCAGTAAATAAGGATCAATTAATTGGGTTAAAATAATAAGAATGACCATTAAGTTTACATTGGAATAGGGATTTAGTTCCATTGTCAATTTTTATACAACCATTCTTCCTGCCCCCCCCCCCCCACCACTCAGGCCAAAACCAGCCTATGCCCTGAAGTAGGCTGTATCATCACATATATCACTGCAACTTTTACTTCAAATAAATGCATGTACTAAATATTTTAGGCTTAGCAGGGCTACAGCTACAGTCTGCAACTACAAGCTGACTTTGCTACATGGATTAAGCCTTTTAAAGTTGCCAGTTCGAAAATAAATAACAACATAATACTACATTCCAACATAAAAATCTACAATATTTTTCAGGAAACACTTAACATTTTCATCTGCTCTCCTTGAGAGCTTGACTGCCGTTAACTCATACAAATATCATCAAGGAAGATGATCTGATTGGTGTGCGGCAGCCATTATGCTAATTAGTTTTAGGATATACATTTTTTATTTGAAGTGCGTGTCTGCAGTAATTAAGATATAGAAGGCATGCCTTTATTGAATTTTGTTTAAATGATTTACATATTTTGAATTTGAACAGCATTTGTTTTTTTTTAATTTTTATAAATAATCACTAAAGAATACACAAAAAAGCAGACAAACAAAAACCAGGACATGGGCCGGAATGTGACACCATGCAGATTGAAAAAAGTGGACACAATTTTTTTGTACAATTATAAAAAAAAGAGCATTAAAATATAGAAGAAAAGGAGCTTGTATGTACATCATTTTCACAAAATTTGAAAGGAAATTTCTGAAAACCTGTCAACTACCACTGAGGTAAATCCAGAGGCCTAGGGATTTCACTCTACATAGTTGCATTGTTGCTAGTGTTTATCTGTGCTCTGTGACTGTTGCAAGACCTTCTTGTTGTAGTGAGTTATTCTAGGCTGGACCTTGAAAACAAAATGCCAAAAAAAAAAAAAAAAAAAAAAAAAAAAAGAAAATAGAGGCGCATAAAACCTACAGTATTTTTGGTTGTCAAAGTACTCATTTTTATTATTATATTGTCATTATACTATTTAGAATAGTTGTATTGTTAACTTGTGTTAAATATTTATTAAATAATTTCTAAAAACCATATTTAAACAGGTGACAGCTAATTCTTAAAGTCGAGCTTATGTGCTTGGGGCCAACGTAGAAAATATGAAATAATTTCTGAAGTGGTTTTTTGAGAGTAAAGTGGTTTATGTGCAGATGCATGCTGCCATACCTCCAATAGGAATAGAGACAATCCACAATTAGCTATGAATCCAGTGATCTGGAAGCTAAAGCACTTTAAAGCCAGGCTCGGGAGGGGAAAACAATAGACCTTTCCGGAGTGTCAATTAAACTTAACAACTGACTAATCAGAACAGCGCTAGAAATACGCGCGCGTCTTACAAACACACGTGTTGTCCAATAAATGCATGTGTTCGCGTATGTTCGTCTTGTGAGACCTTAGCAACAATATCCAAGGGGCGGAGCTTAGCGGAAAGGTCCATTGTTTATGTGTTGTACAACTGATTTTTCTAAGGCACAAAATGCATATTTGACGAAAAACTCGGAAGCAGGAACGTAAACACCCTTTTTTCATCTTCTGCCCCCAGTTTTTAAATATTCAAAAATCTGTATCTCAATAACCGCTCCCGAGTCCTTCATCAAAGATGCTTTTTGTGGCTTAGCAAAAAAAAATCAGCTGTACAACGTATCAAAAAATTGTTTCCCTCTGTAGCTTGGCTTTAAAGGCTTCTTGTGTCAGGTGCCATATTAATGTATTAAAAAAAAAAAAATACACCAATTAATCCTGTAAAGTATACTCCTAAGTGTAGAGAGACAAATGTTTATAGCATTCTCTATTTTGAATAGCACATTTACATTTATGTGTATGTGTCCCACGAGGCTCCATTAACAATACCAATGTAATCTTTTTGTGAGAGAGCAATTCATATAAAAATCACCTAGAAAGTTGTTCCAGAGTTTAGGTTGCTGTATTGGAATGTGTATTTGCTGTGTGAACTTTGTGTGTCCCACATATTTCCACAATCGTAAAAATTCATTATCCAAAGTACAATACTTTAAATACAATACATGTTTTGCTACCACACCTTGATTGGTCAATCACTTTTGGTACTTGTGCATATTAGCTTGCAAATATGGATAATTTTTCATTTCTGATGATGACATAATTAATGTCGAAATATTAAATCCCTACACGATGGCGTGCATTTCGATACTTGGAGTATGTATTATACTGTCTTACACCTTTATTATAAAGTCAACAAGTTTTTTGTTTTATAATTTTACGTAAAGCACACACAGGCACTACGCAAACATGCGCTATATATAAGTATTTTGTTTAAAATTGGCTACTAAAAAAAAACTGGTACTTTTATTAAAAAATGGTGATCAAGTTGTTGATGATATTACAATGATAATGATACTAATAGATGACTAGCATTATAATTTTGATTACTTGAAGGTGATTATGATTAAAATCGTGATTATAATACACTATAATGATAAACATGATAATTGTGATGATTACTATCACTGTGATTATGATGATAGTAATAATGACGGTGGGGATGATAATGATAATCCCATAGATGGCAGTGATAACAACGATGGGGTCGATGATGATAATGGTGTTAACTAATGATAATTGTGATGAAAGATGATTTATTTTATGGAAAAACACGTACGATCAATTCAATTTGTACTTTAATTTCTCTTTGTTTTTAAGCATATGTTACAAAATTAAATATTTTATGCCATTTTGGACTGCCATACTTCTTTCAGGTACCATCAAGCTGTCCGAGGCACAACGTATGGAAAAACAAATTTTGCTGAAATGGCAAGTAAAACAGAATCTCTGAAAACAGAGCAAGAAGAATCGCAACACAAAGTAAACCAAACAAGGGTAAGAACAGTAGCATATTCTGTGTCTGACATCATTCAAAATTTTCATGTTGATCGGCCAATAAGTAGATGCTTGTCTTCCATTCTCACAATCCTGGGTTCAAATCCTGTCACATTATGATTTTTCTTATGATTATAAATAACCCTGCTAACTAAAGGCATGCAGGTGTGGGGGTATGATATCTCTGACAGGAGGGCCGACTCCCTAACGAGAACCAAGTGGGCGTAGTTGGGCGTTGCTCAAAATCTCTTGAAAATTATCCAGAGTGTGTAGCCCCCCGGAATCTATGAAAATTTAGGGGGTTTCAAAGGCATATTTAAACGATTTTAGAGTCTACAAATATGTAAAAAGTATATATAATTTTTCTTCTCCCCAATGGAGTGTGTTTTGCCTGACGGGCAGGGGGATAGGCCAGCTCTCCCCAACTCTTGGCAACTCTCCATCGGCGCCACCCCTGATGTCATGTTCAGATTGGATTAATTTTGCCCAAGACGAGAAAATCTGCTTTAGTCATATCATACAACTGTTCGCACTTGGATTTAAATATGTGGTAGTTTCTAAGGTAGTAAAGCCGTGCACTAACTGCTTGTTGGCCGATGCGGTTGTATGAAGCAGGGGAGGATTTAGGGGGGGGCCGGCCCGGCCCCGGCCCCCCCTTTTGGGAGGTAAAAAGAAAGAAAAAGAAAAAAATGATAGCCCACAACGCCTCAAATGTTATTTTCGGGTGTCTAGAACACAAAAATTTCACGGGGGCATTCCCCCGGACCCACTAGGACATTGTTGTCTCGATCGGCCCAAATTTCGGCCCCCTTTCGGCCCCCCCTTTTGGACATCTCTGGATCCGCCTCTGCAAAGAACGACATCGTACAACACAGTGAGTGCCAGGCTCAAGATTTTGCTTCGTGCGCGGTCAGTCTAAACGTAGATGGTCCCTTCGAACATTCTTTCAGTGACACCTGATTTAAAATTTGTAAAATTTGTAATTTGGAATTTGTAATAGATCAAACACTCGTTTTGGATCATTAAAACAAGTAAATTCTGATATTATAATTTTAAGATAAAATTGTATTTAATGTTTGGTATCCTTTTCTAAAACCTGCTTATTTTTCATGGATTATAATTTTCTTCAATAAAATTGGTAAGTCATTTAAAGGAATTTTCTTTTTTAGAATTGGACTTAGAGAGCACTCTGATTTTTTTGCTTTTTGTGATCGCCTCTTTTGTAAACAAGATGAAACTAGTTGCTTACTGTGTTAGAAAGATAAATGTTTGAACGACATCATTAAAAATACGTTTTATGTTGAATGATTTGGTGTACTACTTTTTTGGCCTTTATAAATTCTTATATTTGTATATTTTTTTTATTTTAATATACACATGTAATATATTAAAATTGACTTTTTAGATAAAGGCATTCTTGATCAAATCGTTTATTTCTTTTTATGTATCTATGCATGTTCTTTTGAAAGCATAACTTAGTTTGCAAATTCTTTTACAAACATTCAAATGTTTTACATACATAACAGAGATACTGCATTGTTTATTAAATTTTATTCCTATTACAGTACATTCATAAAATCAAAATCATTATTTTCAATTATTACAACACAATAAAGTTTGAGTCGAAAAATGTATTATTATTATTGCTGATTATTATTATTGCTGAGTATCTTCTTTAGCAGTCATTTTAGTTGTTGTACTATTTGAAGTGTAAATGAATAGTTGTTTATTGGTAGGCTATCTGGTACTGGTATCGGCATTTATAATGCGCCTCTTCCTTGAGGTTATAAAGCACAGTTCTATTCCCTGGTCAATGGGTCTACATGCTTTATGTGTTGCTGCTGGAAATTAGTGCAGAAGCAAGCAACCCCACCAGATACCCACTTATACTCCTGAGTGGAGAGAAGTACTGTAATGAGAAAAATTGCCTTACTCAAGGGCACAAGCAAAATGCACAATGAGTGATTGAAACCCCGACAGTTCCTACTGCGCCAAACCGACTCATTATCTTACGTGTACACTTCAAGGCTTTAGTTCATTTTTTTTTTCTTCCTTTTTCCTCTTTAAGTTCATTTTCAGTAATTCAGTTAGGGTGGCTTTGTATTCTGAATGTATTTAACGATGAAATAAATATGATATTTATGATATTGTTAATCAAAGTGGACCTGTTTCGTTGTTTCTAACAGGACCAACTTTCAATGGAGATGATGACGCTGATAACGAAAGAAGGAGAATTAGCAAGGACACTCATAGACGTAAGTTATTTTTTTACATCATAATGCTCTGTCCACAGAGGTCATGCTGTTAAACTGCGTGTGATGACCCTGCTACGACTTTTCCAGTCAATTGATAACAGCAACTAGAATCCACTAAACGCGATTATTCGCTAAAGGAAGCTACATTAACACCTGTGTAGCTCCTGTGGTTAGGGATTCACACGAATGTCCTCACTGTCTGTCAAATATCTGTGATTTGTGACTTACCCATGATGATGAAATATCACACTCATTGGTAAATCACAGGTATTTGTCACAAAATATTTAATATATCTGGAAAGATGAGAGCAGTTTAACATAGTCAGCTAAACTGGGTGTAGCCACTGTGTATGCGCTGAACCGTGAAGATCTCTTGGTCCCCAGTTCAATTCCATCGTTGTTCCCCTTGTGATTCAGCTTCAGGGCTGAAATGCAAGTTCAAAAGGTGCACTATCTTTCGGATGAGACGTTTCAGCCGGTTCAGTTCCCATCGCTGCTCTCCGTGTGTTTCAGCTGAAGGGCTGAATTGCAAGTTTCAAAAGCACACCGTTTTTCTAATGAGATGTTTAAGCCGTTGTTCTATGTGCAAAATGGCCCATGTGCATGTTAAACAATGCAATACACTTTTCAGAAAAGGGTAGGGGAATGTCTCCCTGTGTACTACCCAATGTACCAGCAGAAGGCTTTCACTGGAATTAAGTCTTAAGACTCTTGTGGGTTATCCTTGGTGTGTATCGCACCAAAGAAATCCAATCGAATTAACATCTCCACAAGATTTGATTGACAGATAAACCGACTAATCAGCGAGCGTCATTTAGTCACGTGATCAAAAACTTTTTCTCGGACATTTTAATTCCCTTAGACAGCTGGTACACGAGACATAAGTGAGCCTAGGCCTAGATTTCTATGCTTAGTTATAGATACCCAGATTTACACGAGCAGTGACTGAATGCGGCTTTTCCCTCTTCCTTTGGGAGTGAAATACAGAGGCTTTTACAACAATTTCCCCGCCATGTTCCATGAAATAGATAAACACTATGAATATATGATTCATTCGCATACCGCCTACCCTGAATTCTCTTTCTTAAAGAAGGTTGATAGCAAAGAAAATCTTTGCTAACTCGGTAAGTCTAGCCACCATTGTCTATGGTTTTTGTGACTTTGTGGGCAGGGCTTCGCGTCCTTGTCGACATGTCACTTCAAACATCTTTACATTATTTATTGTATCTTTTACGGTTAAATTAGTGACTGCCAAAATTCATGCATCTTATTATTTTACCTCTTTATTTTATATTCTTATATAATTTTTTGTGTGCAGTATGTATCATATTGTTGTATTTGTATGTTTTTATATGTTTATGCTGTTTCTTGCTCCAAAAAAAAAACAAGTTTGCTGTAATTATAACGTATATGACGATTAAATTTGAATCTTGAATCTTTCTAGTTTGTCGAAGCTCAAGCTCAGTACCATAGAAACGCCCTTACAAAATTAGAACGAATGATTCCTGCCATGAAGGAGATTCTGGAGCATGACGCTTTACAGCCGATATTCGGTTGCCCGCTAGAGGATCATCTTAAGATTACGGAGCGGGAGATAGCGTTGGTTATTGAGGCATGTGTCATCACACTTGTCACATTTGGTCTGGAGGAAGAAGGACTTTTCCGTCTGGCGGGCAGTCAGTCAAAAGTTAAAAAGTTAAAAGTAAGCATCATTATAGAATTGTTTACACGGCAGATCACCGTGATGATCGCGTTTATTCGTTGATATAGGTGTTAAGTGGCCGTGTAAACAGAGCTAGTAACTCTGCATAACGGATCAGTAACCGCGATTATCTATGCAGTAACTTCTGCATCGCAGTGGTGTTAACATAGATCATCAATTAGTTGTCTTTTAACCTGTGCGAGTCATCGCTGGAAGTCAGTGTTGATAAGCAGCGTGAATACCAAATTATTATTTTTTTTTAATTATGTTTTTATCAATTACATGCATTTTTAAACTTTTCTGACGAAGGATTTCAAAACAAGCAGCAATGTGCAAATTTTTTAATAATAATTTTTTTAGCGTGTAGACACGTAACTGAAGATCATCGGTGTTACCTATCTGATAGCAAACAGCCGAGGAAACAAGCCTTATATGATTCTACTTATTTTTTAGTGAGAGGTAAGGGGGTGGATCTGTGGGACTGTTTAACATTTTTAACATTAACAGTTCTTTTTCTCATTTTCTTGAAGGCAATGTTTGATTCCTGGGTTGAAATTGATATGGCCGAATATGAAACTGATTTACATGCGGTTGCTGGTACGTATTTTAATATTTATGTTCCTTTACGTAAGATCTAGAACTGATTAAAGTTTGAAGGGTCAAAGGTCAAGGTCACAATCAACAAAAAACTTTTTTTATTTATTTGTCTACAGCCCATAGTTTTTTAATCACAAACTTTGTCACAATGTTCCATGACCAAAGATCTCCAAGTATTTGAATGTTGAAGGGTAAGGGTTAAATGTCAAGGTCACAATCAACAAAAAACGATTTTTTTTTTTTTAAATAGCTTTTATCAGAAATTTGTCAAACTTGGCCACGATGTTCCTTTACTAAAGATCTAAAGTGACTGAATTTTGAAGGGTCAGGGGTCAAAACACAATGATCAAAAAACTACTTAAGTATAACTGTCTGCCGTATGGACGTCTGTGTGGGCTTGCTGGTAAAGTGTAAACAGACATATGACCATTAATTTCAAAGTGATATATATGAAAACAGTTTGGTGTAGTGGTTAGAAGAGTGTTTTCCACACTACCAGCCTTGAATTCAAATGTGTGTGTGTGTGTGTGTGTGTGTGTGTGTGTGCAGAATATCTAATACCAAATTAGGAAGCTATATTATTATATTAATTTTATTTTTTGTTTATAAAAATCAGGAATTTTGAAAATGTATCTTCGTGAGCTTCCAGAGCCATTGCTGACCAACGAATTATATGATGAATTCCTGCAGGCAGGGAGGTGAGAATTTTTATATAATAATTGTTTTTATTTAATAATAATAGGTAATAATAATAATGCTCAAGATTGATATAGCGCCAATTCCAATCGATGATCAACGGCGGTGAGCGTTATTTCCCCTGGTCACTGAATAGCATACACCAGCAAACCAGCACAAAGTGCAACCATATCTGCTCCCTGGGGAGTATACATAGGAGTATGAGTATTTCGGTGTGAATCACTTCCAAAGATAACCCACTAAGTTCGAAGATTTGTTTCCAGTTGGGGACTTCTGGTGGTGAATTGAGCAGTACACCGGGAAACAATCCCCTACTCTTTTCCGAAGAGTGTACTGCGTTCTTTAACATGCACATGGGCCATATTGTACACGGTACCAACGGCTTAAATGTCCCATCCAAAATACGGTGCGTTATCGTAACTTGTATTTCTGCCCTCCAGCTGAAACACAAGGAAGGAATTAAACCGGGGACCTAGCAATCTCCACGATTCAGCGCACACACGGTGGCTACCACCAGTGTAGCCGCCTGAGCTAAGCTGCACGTGTACTAGTAAAACATCCTACCAGGTACCCATTTATATTCTGGTGTAGAGAGAGACAAAGTGAGCGACAAAGAGAGAGACAAAAAGTGCCTTGACCAACGACACTAGCAACTTCACAGCGAGGGATTAGAACCCAACCCTCAAACTTGGGAGTCTAAGCCACAACTGCTTTATCATCCATTTTACATAATCAATGGAGGAACCACTTTACATCATCTAAGGAGTAATAGCTTCACATAATCTAAGGCACAGGTGGGCAAAGCGCAGCCCACAGGCCACATGTGGCCCGACAATATTTTTTGCGGCCCGCTACAACCCTATATGTGCGGCCCATCTACCATTTTTGGCTAGAAAACTCCCTGTTTTTATGGCCCAGTGCGGATAATATGTAAAAAGTAATATTGAAATTGAGCATAGAGTGGTATTAGGAGCAGTACATGCAGGTTTCTGGTAATGTCAAATGTGCACCCCTCAGTATTAATTCAAAACTTCACTTTGACCCTCCGACCTATTTTTATGCCCAACTCTTGCTGACATAGTGAGCTAGTAATATTCCAATATGCATTCATATTTTTTGTTTACCATTGGCTGAAGAAACATTGTAATTAAATCTAGTAAATACAACTAATAATAAATTTGCATTGTTTTTTTGTTTTTTTTTTAATGAAAGTAGAGAGCAAATAACAGATAATGGACACTTTTGTGCTGTATTTTGTTATTCAGATTGTCACTCAATTATCTGTTTGGACAATGCTGTAATTTTAATTCTTTGGTGATGTGTTTTCTTTACTTACCACATTATGGTTTTGTTGTTTAAGACAAACAATCATTACAATGTTTTTATTTTTCCAGTATATCAGATTCTGACAGAAGACTGCAATCTTTATGGACAGTAGCAAATAAACTACCAAGCTACAATAATAAGAATTTTAGGTATGTTAAAAATATAGCAGGTTATGGGTAGCCATCATGAACCATCATGTAGCCATTTCATGGCATATATTATAGTAAAAAAATATAAAAGTAACCCCTTTACCTAGAAAGAAGTGGCTGTCAAGCCTTGTCTTGGGGCAAGCAAGAAAAAACAAACTTAAAAGAGGCATATAATTATGGAAAAGCCATTCATTAATTTGGCCAATCAAAGAAGGTTTAATCATAATTTAAATTATAATTTGTAGAGCGCTTACGAGGCAGGTGTATGTATGCTATGATTCCAGAAAGCAAGAGTGATGACAATAGGAATATGTAGTTTATGTCGCTCTTGCGAGTCAATGTAACTCATCTCAACTGACATCAACTGGCCTTTTGGAATTAGCCAGCAACTTGTGAGCAACTGGCAAGCAACTGTGGAGGGGGTCGCAATTCTCCCAAAAAATCTCAGTAGCCCCCCAGAAATCAAGACAGCCTCCCATACTCTCCCAAAATGCAAAACCTCCTGGAAACTAACCCATCTCCTGCAAATTCATTATATTTGCATGTATTACTTTTGAATTATCAATTGTCTCCCGGAAGTCAGCTAGTAATGGGGTCACCATGAGCTGCAAAATATAGTTAGATGTGGATGTTGTTAAGAACCATATCTCCCAGAAGTGGCTTTTTTTAACTTGCACCCCTAAACTGTGAATTTGAGTCAACGTGAGCTCTTCTACTATCTATTCTTCTACTATCTATGCAACATTTATATAGTAGAACACTCCCCATGTAGCTATGTATGTTTTCAAATCTATTTAAATGATTTGCTTGATTTTCCAGGTATTTGATAAAGTTTCTAAAGAAAGTTTCTGAGCACAGTGAAGTGAATAAAATGAGTACGTCAAACCTAGCTCTGGTCATTGCTCCCAACATACTGTGGTCGGAAAAAGAACGAGGGTAAGTTGCTTACTTCTGTTGAATTTTTGTTGTTGGACAGGTTTGACTTGATCACGCATCTTGGTGTCCGTAACGAAACCTGTCAGATGTAAACTCTGTCTCTTATACACATCTAGATGTGTATAAGAGACAGCACACACGGTGGCTAGTTTCTGTAACATCAACTGCAATGGCTTCTCAAATTGTTGAATCCTATATTACTTATGCAGATTGGTTCTTCCCAGAAGGTATACGTTATTCATATTATACTCCGTACTACAATTTTAACTACAGTATTTGTCTTTTACCTCTTTCTTGTATACAATCCAGCTTTTTGGTTCATGTGCTGTAAAGCAATAAGAACCTTTGTAATCTTCCATGCATGTGCGCCTGTGACGCTGATGTCATCAAATTCATCAAAAGTTTGTAAACAAGCAAACTTAGAATTTCCAAACACCTGTTGGTTATAAATTATTGCATACATGTAGTTGTGCCCTATTGCTTGAAAACATTGCATAAATATTAAGTAATATGCAAGAAATTTATTGCCCCTCCATCCAAGAATAGTACAGTGGATTATTGAATGTCTATTTTGATAAAAAGCAGATCCAATTGCCTGACCTCTCAGGCAAAAATTTAATGACTATCGCTTTAGATTAGAGGAAAATACAAAGTCCCTAACATTTCTACTTGAATTATGTATTTATAAAATATATATATATTGAGTTGTCTGTAAAAAAATGTCTTATATCCATTTCGTTTATTTCCTTATTTCTATTTACGTCATTACCAAGATTGTAATATTTTACCAAAATTGCTGCATAGGAAACTTGACCCTATCAGAGGTCTGGTTTATTGAAATATATTGTGTTTTAATGAATGTATTTCTATGTAAATATTATGAAAATCAACTTCAGCTGCCGTTTGGTATAGATTATACAATTAGCTTAGAGGACAATACAAAGTCCCCAATATTTCTACCTGAATTATGTATTTATAAAATATTATATATAATGAGTTGTCTGTAAAGAAACGTCCTATATCCATTTCGTTTGTTTCCTTATTTCTATTTACATTATTACCAAGATTGTAATATTTACCAAAATTGCTGCATAGGAAGCTTGGCCCTTGCAGAGGTCTGGTTTACTCAAATTTAATTGTGTTTTAATGAATGTATTTCTATGTAAATATTATGCAAATCAACTTCAGCTGCCATTTGTTATAATAATATTTAATTGAATTGAATTTTTTTGCAGAAATTGAATTTGAGGTATCTGATGCATGTCCAAATAAACGAAATTCAATGGAAAGGACCACGCCGGTAGCTGATCAAACAGATGCTGGCCACTCACCTGCACAGACTAAAGTCACTCCACAGCAGTCCCAATCACCTAAAGAGGTTGTCCAGACCCCCACTTCAACTGTTACAACCCCTCTTCTTAACGACACACATGCACCTACAGAAAGGTAAGTAATCAGTTTATGATGATTGTGTTGGTGAGATTTGGAAACTTTTGGTAAATCTTTTATATAAATTTTTAAATTCTGTTTTATGGTCTTTAATTTTTCAGTTTATTCTGGGATCTTTTAATCTCCCTCTCTTTAAATTTATCTTTTAATGAGTGCTTATTAATAAAATTTTCTTAGTTATAAATGCTTAATTCAAGTATTTTTATATTTTGTAAATGCACACACTGGAAATTGGTTCAATGGTTATATTTTAGCATGAACTAAAAATTGTAACTTATTTTGAAAAATTTTATATTTATGCTAAAATGGCTTAAAGTCAGTGCTGTAATAACACCACGATACATCTGCCAATCTCAAATTATATTTTTTAGCTGTTTGGGGGATTTACTTTCTGTGATAAGGTCAAACGAGGTCAAATACACATGCCAATGTAAAAGGTCAAGGCATGCAAACTCTGTAGTAGCACATATTACACAAAGTGTAGGTTCACAATTAGTTCACATTCATTCCATATATCTTCTTAGATGGTTTGAATTTCAAATTATTATAGACAAAGATGTTGAAAATACAAAATGGCTTAACATTGTGGAAGCATGAATGAGGGGTGAACAGTTTGTGACTAAATTCAATTACAAATGTCAGCATTGATTCATTTTTGGTCCAGAACAATAAAAATCTTTGATCTAGTTTTATATTTTAACAAACACTATAATAAATTCCTTTACAGCTAGATAGATAGCTTTTGATGTTTGAACAAAATTTTTGTTTTGTTTGTCATAATGTATGACGTTTTCCTTTGAAGAGTAAATATATGAAAGAGCAACTTAATACAAAAACATATTAGCAAACTCAATAACAATCAGTTTCTACAAACAATATTATTACAACACAAATTTATTACCATGTTGCATTTGACTACAATGAATTGCTGTGATGTTTTCTTCACTTGGATGTTACAACTATTCATTTCATGCAGTCCTACCAAATGTGATATATTAATGCAATCTATAACGTTAACATTGGTGCTAATTTGAGACCCTCCTTGTTCATAATTCAGTTGATAAATGTAGTCATGTATAAAGATGAAACAAAAAACTGGAGACGTATCTGACTTGTGTGCACTTAAAGGAACACAGTGCATCTTTCAGAAGAGTGTGGGTCACTTACACAGCTCTGTTTACTTCAGCCCCTGTGGTTCTGGGAAAATTGTGACTACAGAACACCTCTCTATAGCAACTAAGAGCTGTTATACTGACCCCGCTTATATACAAATTCTATACTGACTATGCTCATACACAAATTCAGCACAATGATGTGTGAACTTTAGATAATATTTACAATATTGATTTCTCCCACGAAACCATATTCTCTTTTCACATCAAAACCCAAATTTCAGGTTTTAATGAATGAATCTAAAATGTTTAATAACAAGGAAGCCAAAAAACCTCATTTTCAACTGCATGTTTTTAAGCCTACTAAGCTAATCCTACCTTTAAAAAAAATTATATATATTTTAAATTGTTTATCATTTCTAAGAGTGTGATTTTACTTATGCTTTTTGCTGTGTTGATTTGTCATAACTCCTATAAAATTTCAACTTAAAGCTCATTTTAAACACTAAAGTTTTTATAGAATAAAGTACCTACAAGTGAGTTTTTGCAAAAAAAAAAAAAACAATATAAGTAAGTGCAATTTATCATTCTGTTTCCTTCTATGTTGCTGTTTTCATAATATATTTTTAACAAATTATTTTGTGTTTATGGAGTAGCATCAGAAACACTTACCATGAAATGCCATGAATACTTTATGAGAAATACATTGCAAATGCCTATACAATGCATGTTGATAAATATTCAATGTTGTGTTATGATGGCTCTGCAACGCCATAATTCTTTATTTCTCTTGGAGGCGAGCTATAAAATGTGAAAAATAAAATTCAATAATTGCAATACTTATGCTGTACATATTTAATTAAGGTATTAACTTTCAATTTAAATATAATTTTAGAAAATTGAAAGAATGTCAAATAATAGGTGCAAAAATTAATATAATTCCTATAGTATTTGCCTAGGTATTCTTATATTTGCTGGTAACCAAAAGGATGGTTAAAAGTAAATTAACAAAATCTGGTCATTAGAAATTGACAACTTTTATTAATTTTTATCCTTTTACAGGTAAATGCAAAATTGAATTTTTTAATTAACATTTTAAAAGGTTTTTTTTCCAGATTCCATTTTTGAAGGAAAATAATATTTAATCCTTTGCAATTATATAAATAACAAATTTAGTCTATGATAGATATCAAGCAGAGGTTTCCACAGCGGGACAGTCAACAGAAACGCAAGAAAATATGTAAATGAATTTCAGGACATTGTGTTTCATTTCCAGATACCATTACCAATTTGCAATATTTTTGTATGTTGGTCATATATATGTCCAGTGGCAGATTCAAAGATTGGTAGGGGGTTAGCCGGCCCAGGCCGACCTGAAATATTCAAAAGTATTTAAAAAATGGAGAAAAAAGGAAAATTATAATCAAATTAAGATCTGTGAGTGCCATTACAGGTCATCTACAGGTGCCATAATAAATGTTCTTAACTCAGCTGTGGTGGTCTAGATCCTCCATCTGTGAAACTCCCTCGCTGGGCGCCCTCTATTTCGAATTTCTGGATCTGCTATTGATATCTTCATCAAAGACATGCTGCATGTATTACATAAACATTGACTTTTACCTGCTGTGTTTGACATTTCATTCAGGTGAATTTGCCAAGTACTCAAATCATGTAATTGTGGGTCATTATTATTATTATAGCCTTTATGACATAAGCAAAAGATTTCAGGTTCGAAATCCAGTGAAGGTTGAAGTCATATTTCTCTTCTGTTACATTTCAGATTTAGAATATTTATTAGTTTTCTTGTGAAATACAAGCAGATAGCAGGGGCGCAAAGAGACTTCCGGAAATCGGGCAAATTCATTTTATCTGCATGTTTTAAGTAGCCTCCTCTGCAGTTAAACAAATTTGATAAGATAAATTAAATCAATTTGACTTTACTTTAAACAGTAGGGGCATTTTCACTAGTATGTACTTAATGGTGTGTTCTGAGGTCAGGTCTAAGATCTGAACTATTTTGATTTTCTCAAGGTTAGGGACAAAAAGTAGCAAAACAAAATCAAAGGCGAAATTTCTCTTTTCCTAAAAGAAAGAAATCTCCATTTAAGACCACCATAATAAAGGTTGATACTGATAATGAAAAGCGTGTATACTGTATACTCCTTCCTCATATACATATTAAAGCAAAAAAACCAGTTAATTCTACTGTTAAAAGAATCCACACTTAAGACACATGCTCGTTTGCCGAACCATGCTTGCAGTCACATCATTACATAACCATCATGTCTTTATTATCGACCCATAGCTATAGCTGTGTTAATCAGTTTCTATAATAATTTGATTGTTGTCACATTTCATTTGTACTTGTATTTGTTTGTGTATTTTGATAATGGTGCATGGATGGTTTGTGTATGTGTTGATATTGTAACACTTCATGTTCATAATTATAAGGCCAAATAATAAAGACAATTTGTTTCTCATCTCCTCTATTTCTTTTAATGCGCCTTTTTTTTTTTCAAATTTCACACATCCAATAGTGATAAGTATGCATTGGGTCTTGCCATGATGTAAATATTTTACTATATTTGTCCATCTTTGTGTGAAAATATCCAGACGCATCCTCTTTTTTTTTTTTTTTTTTTTTTTTAAAGGAAATTTTTTCTTTTTTTAAAGGAAAAAAAACAGTGAGAAACATGTTTCTTTTTTTATTTGGCCTTTAGAAAATATAGTGCATTTAATTAAAGGTGGTGTTGTTATGCTCAAGGATTTATGTGGTTATGGAAAACCTAATTTAAATATGATTTGGAAAAGCAGCAGTTAAGTAATAGAAATGTTGTGTACTTTAGCGTATACATTTGTAGTAAAGCTTAAGGTTCATTCACACTACAGTAATATTTTAATTTTTTAAAATGTGGTTAAATGTCGGTGTGAATTCAACTGTCCCATTCTACATTTACACAAAATGTATTAATTGTAATTTACCAATTCCAAAATCACTTATATATGCCAGCTACTGTATACAAATGTGGTCACAAATAAGCTGTTAAGGATGATCATAATAATAATAATAATAATAATTATTATTATTATCGTCGTCGTCGTCGTCGTCGTCATTATCGTCGTCGTCTAAATGGGTATTGCCCTTTCTCCATGACTACAGCTGATGCCACTACTGATCCAGGTACTAGTTATCACGTAAGACTGACCCCCACATGTTTGTTGTGCTGAGCAATACTCAACTTTATCTACAGACTTATTATTAAGATAAGATTGAAAACTGGCATCAAAGTCCACAGTGCATGCATGGAAATTATTTACTTACAATCATCCTAATGTCCATTGTTGTGCATGTGCCATTGAAGATTTCTGTTTTCAACCTGACCCATTCTCTCCAATATTGTATATTAATGATATTGTTCTTTTATGTACTGATGTGATATTTTTTTCATTATTTAGTCCACGACAAAAGCGCCGAGCCCCGCTGGCTCCAGGTAGAGGCCCTAAACCTTCCACCTTTGAGCGAGATGCTGCTAAGCCCACTAAGCCCAAATAAACATTCACTGTAAACTCTTCTAGCCACAAGGTATCCTGACTTTCCTTTCTTTCTTCATAAATATTCAAAACTTATGTTAATTATATTCTCTTACTATGTTTATATCTGATCATTATTTTGTTTAGATATTTATTTTGCACTATCCTATAACATTTATTTTAGTTTTCTATCAATTTCTAATATATATGATTATAAATAGACTATCACAGATCTATATTATAGAATGTTATATAATAAAGTTTAGCTGTTTGTAGTTATTCCTGAATCTGTATGTTAATGTATGCCAGGAACTCATTAATATTCATTACATTAAATATTCATGTATTAAATATTCATGACTTGTATTTGATATTTCAGAATGAGTGTATTTCATATTGATAGATTTAAAGTATTTTGGTACGTAGTGGGAATGTATAGTAAACTTAAGTTGAAGAAAAGAGAATGGGTTCTTTTTTTTCTGTATCATTTCATTTCTCCACAAAATACTACTGTGTCGAAGCTCATGTACCAAAACCTAATACTGTATATATGCTTTAGGTATAGACATCAGCCATGTTCGCATTGGAACTGAGGCAGAAGGTAAATTAACCATAGCTAAATCTGACCACTGTTCACACTCGGATTAAAAAGGAATACAAAATTGTACATGGTAGTCAACAGTGCGCCCTCCAAATCTTAACCCATCTAATTCTGAGACCCCTCTAATTCTAGACCACTTTTTAAAAGAACCAAACAACAATTTTCACAAAGCTAGCCCTCTAATTGAAGACCGAACCTCCAAGACCACCTCAAATTTTCAGATCCAAAAGGTGGTCTCATTGGGTAAGATTTTTACTATGATGGAAGGTAAATTAACCAGCTAAATCTTAACCTCAATTCACACTCAGATTAAAAAAGACTGTCCTGCTGACATAGTCCTGGTCTGTGAAACTAGTTCAGGTTATTTGACCCAATGTCCAAATGTGAACATGGCTTATTATTATTTGCTTAAGGTGTGCTTAAATCTGCTCCATCAATGTGTACAAATATTTCAGTATTAACTCGACACTTTATACTTTCTCATATTAAGCAACAATTTGGAATAATATTCTTACTTAAGATTTAAATATCACATATTTGTAATTCTTTTACAAATGGAATACACATGTAAATTAAGAAAGTACAATTTTCAGAAAATCCTTCTTAAATATGTAAAATAGTTCAGAAATTAATGTTTGTGTTTTGATGAGTGTAGGTGAACTAAACAGTTAAATTTTAATTTCAGTTTCTGGAAATTCACAACTTGCACTTTTTTTAGCAAAGTATAACATATCTATAGATTCTGGTAAACTAAAATTAGAAGAACTGTCTACTCTTTAATAGTAGTAATGCTAGAAAAACAGTCTTGGTATTTATTAAAAAGATGTTCTGCAAGAAGCATAGTTAACCTAGCACTGCATTTTTCTTACCACAATTGCTTAAAAATATGTTGAAACAATTGCACCTGTATGCTAATTAGATTCAGTGTTTAACCTGGAAAAAACAGAGGCGTAATAAAAAGTACAAAATAATGTTGGTTTGATGTATAGTTAGAAGCTATACCAGTGGTAAACATAGTAAGTATTAACCATGTGAAAGCCTGTAGTGTACACTGTAGTTGATCTACTTGAAAAGGGGAATGTTTGCAATGACCTTTTGAGCATGTTTGGATGCTACTTAAACATTGGTTGCTTGCTTTTTACTAACTTGCATGGCTTAAAGTTTTGCGCATGCTTTGAAATCAATTTTTTTAAATATGCATGTGTCTTTTTCGTAGCAATAATTGCAGTGAACTTTGTGTCATGATGGGCAATGTATGCAAAAGAAAACTTTTCACTATTCATTTTCCATTGCGGATTTTTCATCTTCATTGTTTTTGGAGCATATAAACTAATATCAGAGACTCACTCTTCAAACTTAAAATATAATTGAACAGAACACATTTTATTAGAACAGAACACATTTTATTAGAACACAAACAATTTCCCATTTATTTAATTTATCATTATGAAAACTTTTTGAAACATTTTTAGCAATTAGAAATAGTTATCACTTTATATTTGTATGCAAGTGGTTGAGTTCTACAGTACGTTTGCTTCCACTCCACATTCTTAAACATTTTGTAATTTTAAGAGAATATATTTTGGAGAAGTCAAAAGATGACTAAGTTATTCAAACTCCAAATACTTGTGAACTGAGATAATACTCTTTTGTCTGCTTTCCTTAGTTAATTAAATTAAACTTCCATATCTGAGCAAAACCATTTATTTGTTGTCCCAAGGTTTTAGTGAGATACTTTAGGAGAATACAGTAATTTCCAGGTTACTTGACGTTGTTTGTCTTTTCAACAACTCTTTTAGTCTCTCGTTTATTCATCTCAGCGGACATGTAGCTTATTCATACTTTCCTAAATGGTGAACTTGTGTCTAGCCTATGCTATTATTCTCTCCAAAGCAAATGAGTTCCTTATTCCAATTAGCTCCGAATACCACTTGGAGATTTAGTTAATTTTCGTGTTTCTAATCTGTTTCGTTATCTTACTTTTCATATAAGCGTAAGCTTGCATCTGTGTAATATCTCAGAATTTCTCAATTGCGTAGATTGAAAAAAAGAAAAAACATGAAAACATGTATTATTCATTAGAACGAATTCTTTAACGAGCACATCTAGTATATAGCTCACAGTTAATCCAACTAGAAAATCTTTTTTTGGCAAATTATACAATGAAATAATTTTTAATTTGTTTTTATTTATTATATATTATTTTCAAAGTTAGTTAATTCGTATTAAAAGTTTAATATACTCTTGTCCAAGTTAGCTCTGGATTTTGAATTAGATTTAATGTAAAAAATGATTATTATAATTATTAGTATTGTTAATGTTGTTGATATTGTTGTTGCCGTGAGCACTGCTAGCTATAAATATGTACGTACATTTTATTATTTTATAGTTATATATGTATATTTATATATATTTTTGTATTAGACAAACATCTATAAATTTGTAAAAGAAGTATTCTGATTTCTTGAATTCAATTCAATTATTACTTGATATTCTACATATTAGGTTTATGACTACTGAATAATTGTTTGTTCCTTTGATTTTTAATGCATTTCTGCAGGACAAGGCCTGTACCAGCGAAAAGACCAAGCAAAAGAAAAGCACCAAAAGCACCAGCAATCGGCACGTCATTGTCCTCTCCGACCTCAACACTGACCAGGCAACACAGCGATCATTCGTTGTCACCGAACGTTAGTAACCATTCATCACGTGATGGTAGACTCAGTGTGGAAAATATTGTTGAAAGTGAACCAGACACATGCCCTCAACTAGATACATCGACGGAGTTACCGATGTCTCCAACATCTCCTCCACCCAGAGCAAGAACGCAATCAATTAAGAAGCCACTTGTGTCACCGCCTCCGCCTCCAAAACCATTAGAAACACGAAATTCAGATCATTTTGAAACCAAATTCTAAAAGGACATTAATAAGGACTGTTGATTAGTGCACTTTCTATTTTAAAATATATTATTCATCAGGACAATTTCCTTAACCAGTCCATCTATTTTATTGTTAATTATGTCTCCAGTTCCAAATACTGAATCGTCTTTCCAATTTGCTAGAACCTAGTTTAAAAGTGCATTGTTAATCACGAAAAATCATGTAGATTTACGAGAAAATTTGTACTATTATTATCCTTTTAGCATTTGTAGAATCAAAATTTGCACATAATAATGTAAAGTGATAATAAACCATAGAGGTTAAAGTATGTATACTGTGTAAACATTCATTGAATCGGCGGTGCTGGAAGCAAGTATGTGCTGTATACTTCTATCATGCAACAGTTAAAAAGATTGTAATTATTATTATTGATAAAATTAAATTACTTTAAATATATCCTGCAAGACATACTTATTAGAATTGAGTCCAGTATTAATGAGTACTTTAGAGCTGCCTGGGAAACTTATCCAATAAATAGAAAATAGAAATATCCCGGCAGTATATAGATGGTGCTGAAATAATGGGCGTTGTGTATGTCTATTATACAACAGGTCAACATTTTATTGTAATTATTGTTGATAAACTATGTTAAATATAACAGGAAATGAGGAAAGAGGTGAACATTTTGTCCTGTCAGGATTCCTGTCCAGTCAAAGAGAATTAGAAATATCCTGCCAATGTAGGTAAATTTTAACATTTTGATAACAAAATAACGAATGCCTCTTAAATGACGTACCATGAATATACCTGGTGATTGGCTATTCTACTGATGTCAAAGGTTAGTAATATAGCCAACAACCATAGTAATATATGCCAATAACAGTTTAATAGTATGACTTAAATCCAATATAGAAATATGGCTCAAACTAGACACCGAGTCTGCTTCCAGAGTCGTTCAACATGTTCTGTATAATGATTTATTTTACGAGCTAGTATTGTGATATTTGTTATACGTGTCCTTTTAGACACAACATGACTAAACATGACAGGTATCTTTGAAAACGAGAATGAGATTGGCTTTCACGTCCGATTTTTGTCACGCATAGGCAAGTTTCTTGGTCATTAGATTCAGTCACACATATCAATTCCATGTACATAATTTTGCTGAATCATTCAGTTAGAGAACACATACATTGTTATTGCAGTATCGACTGGAATCATGCGTTGTGACGAAATCTACATATATACACACATGTTTTTTGGTTTTTTTTAACTTTTATTTAAAGATGGTAACATATTGATGCGACTTTTCGAAGACAATGATGTTTCCTTTTTCTGACATTATTTGCTGAAATAAATCACGTAACTCCAATTCCGATATAAATCATTGAATGTACTTTACTCACAACTTTCTTACAACGATATTCATTATGATTGTTTCAATTATTTATAAGATAGTATCATTTTTTATAACTCAAAAACTTAATAGTTACTGCAGAAAACTTCCTACAAAATTGGGATAATAATTGAATCAGGTTTCTATCGAAATGTAGATATCAAGAATTCATAAACTTTTTATCCGCATAATTTCATAAAAATTTATTTTACTGCAAGCAGCTTTAGGCCTAACAGGTGTTGTCTTAATCCAGAAAAACTTCATAGAAACGTTCGTATTTAACTACTGGTGAAACTCCCAAGTTTCATAGAAAGTATTGTATTTTATTGCATAATACTCGAAATTTCATTTAAAAAAATATTGTATTTTATCCATATTATAGTTATATTTGAATCCATAATTTAGTTAGTATGTTGTCTCCACTTGTTGGCAAGTTTCTTTGATATCAGGGTTACCTTAGTTGTATTCATTTTGTTTTCTAGCTTTTTTTTCTATATAGAGTATTATTAATTTTCTTCTCAAAATACCGGTATTGATTATATTTTAAATTTCGCATATTGATTATATCAAAATGTTTTTAACGTGAATTATTAATTACAATTTTTAAATTGAAACCTTATAACAGCGTTCATTCTATTTGATATTTGATGAACATGTTTTATCGTTAAGTGAAAATTACACTTCATTCAAGGTGTATACCATTTTGTCGGGGGAGGGCGGTTTACAATACGAGTCCAGACAGTTATTATCTATGTTTCGTCTGTGGAATACCCCTCGAAAATATTAGACCTGTCTGTGTGAAGAGGTCCATCTTGTGACAATCATGCCCTTAGATTTAATTTTCATTTTTTAATAAACATACAAATAGTAACTGAATTAAAATTAACAATAATATAATTAACGTTAATAATAATGACTGTATTAAAATTGTCTAACCATTGTCTACTACGTGGTTTCTTTTTGGGTGTTTGTGAGTAGCTTATCCTGGCAAGGAGGTTGCGCATAGACTACCAATATCACGACTTGTTTGTACCATTTCTAATAACAGATTTTTATTATCAGAACAATATACTGTACTCATTAAATATTCATCTTAATTGATGCCGCTTAAAATATTATACCATTGTCTTTGTCAATTTGATACTTTAATACATTTTTATATATATTACCGTATTTATTGAAATAAACGCCCCGCTTTGAAAAAAAAACTCCCCCCCCCCCACATCCCTTCCTAATAGACGCCTAATTTAGAGCCGAATAAACGCCTCCCTCGGATATTTTTCCTCCACTCTAAACGCCCCTTAAATGATTAGACGAAACTAATGGAAGCAACATAATATTAACGCGTTCTATTAAATGTTCTTCTCCAGTAGATTTACATTTTTTTTCTAACCTGGTTAGGATCAATAATCTTTTTATGATCACACAGTTACATACATTTTGACGGTAATGTGTTGTAGCTCCACTTCTGCAGTGATATTAAGTGGCGTTTATTTGAGTGTACGTATCCATTTTACACCAAAAAAATATTTATAAACATCTACCTAGAATAACGCCTCCTTCGAATTAACTTCCCCTCAAAACCCCTTCTCAACAATAAACTCCCTGGAGCGTGTATTCGAATAAATACGGTATACGTATGTACGTACGTATATCTTTAAAATATCACAATCATTTTGAAGCTCAATACCATATAAGGCGAGGCTTAGCTTGAACATTATTGTGCTATTTTAAAGTTGTATTTGCTGTCTGCTGTTACACAGATATATGTATAGGTGTGGAGAAGCAAACCGAGAAATACGTAATGAAATGGTGAGAGGAAGCTGGAAGAATGTATAAAGTCATTCAACTCAGGATATTTCACATGGCAGATGTAAAATAGTTTAGTAGTTAAAATGCTTCCTTTTAATCCCAGGGTCATGGGTTCAATTGATGTGATAGCAGGACACTCCCATGCCCACGCTCGGCCTTCTTCGGCCCTCGGTTGGCGCGTAACGCTAAAATACTAAAAATCTATGGAGAAACATCTTATTTTGTTCTGATTTTTATTACTCAAATGTTGGCATGTATGGATTTGGAAGGTTACAGAAATTCATTTGCGTGTTCTGCACAGGGACGTATCCAGGGGGGAGCCGTGGGAGCCGCGGCTCCCCCCCCCCCC